GTGCCCGGGGCCGGCACTCCCCCCGCAAGCGCTCCATGCCCGGGGCCGACGCTCCCCACAATCTGTGTGCCATGTGCCTGGGGCCAGGCCAGCCCCAAGCACCTGGCGGGCGCATTGAAATGCCCCCGCGGGCACCATGGCGCCCACGGGCACCGTGTTGGGGACCACGGCTATAAACCCTTTATCGTCAGAGCTGCACTGATGCAGCCATGCCACTGTAGCACTTTGATGAAGGTGCTTTAAGTCAACAGGAATAGCTATGTCCCTGGGAGAAGTTCACTGTCAGCACAGGGTGGGGTGGGGGGTTACGGTTGTTATAACTGAGTTGCTCAAGAGTGTGGATTTTTCACACCCCGGAGTGAGATTACACAGAAGCGTGTCCTGCAGACCTGGCCTCAGTCTTTGTGCTGAGTGGCCTGATCCCAGAAACACACCCTTTAACTGCACAACCTGTGCACTTCCAGAGTGTCCCGTTCTCCTCTCTTCAGCACCTCCATCTCAGCACTTTGCTCTCTGCTGCCAGCCATTCTGTAACCCTTCACCCCACTGATGATGGAGTTTAGTGCTTCCATCTGAACTGAATCAGTCAGCCTCACCACGGGAGCCGCCGAGTGACACTAAGGACACCGTTGCTCTTTGATCATGTCTGCACGTTTGCTAGTTCCCTGCCTTAGAGATTAAACTGCTCGTAGTCACTGTCAGCCTCAGGCCATCCATGAATAATAGGACCTTGCCATCAGACTGAAGGCATATTCTGATGCTTGCTTTCTGTACCATCCAAGTCAGTTTCTTTTGTTTTCACGATATTCTGTTCTGTGTCACCGCAGAGATTCAGTGGTAGCCTTCACTTTTCCTACAAAATCCTCCCAAAACACTTGATATATTTGTAGAGGGTTAAGGCTTGAAGGATAAATGATTTCTGCCTCAACACACGAGAGCTGTCCTGCCTAGCTGACCATACCAGAAGAGCATTAGAGAAAATGGCAAGAGGATAAAACAGACAAGCACAGGAATAAACACGAGATCTTGGACTCTGGTGAAAAGCATTGCAGGTATCCTCAGAAGTGAGCTAGAATCAGCCAGTCAGGGCTCAGGTAGGCCCTATAAGAAGGGCTCCTGGAGGAGGGACACACACATTCTTGCTCCAGATCTGAAGGGAGAGGGACTTAGCTGTCTGCTAGTGAGGTACCATGGACAGAGCAGTGCTGGAGAAAGGCAGGGTGAGCCTGGGGAGCTTCAGCCTGAGTAGTCCCAGGCTGAGGCCCAGTGACAGGGTCCTGAGGGTACTAGGGCTACAGGGTGGCTGGCAGGGCAAGAAGTCCCCACCCCTGTGCCAATGAGGAGTGGCCATTTCAGACTGCAGCTTGACCCCAAGGCAGGGGCTAGATGATGACTGAGTAGGTCACTGAGGCAAGGTGTGTATATAGGGCAGGGCTGGGCAAAATACAGCCCTTGGGCCAGATCCAGCCTGCAGAGCCACAGGATCCAGCCCGCAGACCACCCTGCCGGGACCCTCAGAGACGCAGCTGCAGCTGCGTGGTTTAAAGCACAGTCCATGTGACTCTCTGCAGGGAGGGGAAGGCTTCGTGCAATCTCCCCACCCCCAGCCCAATCCTCAGCTCCTATTGGCCAGAAACAACTGGCCAATAGGACCTGACCCCAGCCAATCTCTCAGCTTCTATTGGTGAAACCCAGCCAATAGGAAGTGAGAGATTGGCCTGGGGGATGGGAGCAGCGCAAATCTCTTTCCCCTCCCTGGTCTGAGAGCCAGGTGGAGAGAGCAGCCTGCAGTTTCAAGCAGGGCTGCAGCAGGGAGCCCAGCCTGCCTGGGGGTGCTGCAGGGCTGGTGGCTCAAGTAAGTGCCTCCCAGCCAGAGCCTGCCTCTGGTACCCTAGCCCCTCCCGCACCCCAACTCCCTCCCTCACGTCACCGTCCAAACCCTCTGCACCCTCCTGCCTCAGGTCACAACTCCCTCCCAGACTTTGTATCCCTTCCTACACCCCTCCCCACAGCCAGAATCCTTTCCTGCTCCCAAACACCCTCCCAGACCCAGCACCCCATTCCCTTTCCCCAAGTCACCACCCACACCCGCTGCAGCCTGCACCTCTTTTCCCCTTCTTCCAGGTCACAGCTCTCTCAAAGACTCTGCACTATCTCCTAGTGCCCCTCCCCTAGGCCAGAATCCTCTCCTGCACCCATATCCCCTCCTCAAGCCTACACCCCAATCCCCTGACACAGGTCACAACCCCTCCTTTGCCCAAACTCCCTCTCAGACCTCACACATGTCCTGCATCCCAGTCCCTGTGCGCCCTTCTGTACCCAGCCTCCATCCTAGAACACGCCCCCTCTCCACAGAAAAGTGTGGCCCTTGATCACTTTCCAAAATATTGGAGTGGTCCCCTGCCAAAAATTATTGCCCACCCCCAGTACAGGGGATTTGGGTTCTTGTGGAGGAGAACCCCAGAGTGTGGGGGCACTGCCATGGGGCAGTAGTCTGAGAAAAGGACATTGTGGTCTGGGAAGGACACAGGCCCTGATACAAGGCTGTGGAGAAAGAACAAGTAACAGCAGCTGGAAGAGGGCTCTCCAGAGGCTTGTTTGAGCTAATTCCCAGTGACCAGCAGGAGCCACGGCAGTGAGTCACGACAGCGCTACACAGTCCATTAGCCAAGAAGAAAGTAACTTGTAACTCATGCCATAAAGTTAAACTGACCTAGGGTAAAAAGCTCTTTGGAAAGCAGGGAGCAGCTGGAGCACAAACTGCAGGGAGCCATCATTCCCTAACCCTGGGGATGGATGAAATGAGCTACAGGGTCTATTCTGTCTCTAATTTCTGAGACCGAGAAGCTCAACAGCAAATTGAGTGTCTTGTGGCATCATCAGAAGCATCCTGCAGATGCTCCCTAGTCCCTTCTAGAGATCTAACCAGCTAACATAAAAGGGAAAGTACATTTAAGAAAAACCTGCACATTGGATTTTATCAAGCTATGTTACCGTGAGTTCTGTGGCAACTGCCTGAAGCAACACAGCCCCTTACCAACAGCACTGTCTGTCTCTCCACTGTCAGCATGGATTGCTCTTGTGCATCTGAAATCTTCTGTCGTGTATGTTTTGGTTACTTAGTTGATGATAGAGATAGTGGAGAGGAAAATGTCATGTGCCTCTATTTTCCATATTAAAGGTAAACAAAAAAAATAGAGGTGCCTTGATTGAATTTGCTTAGCCAAAGCTGATCTGTGAGGGTATGTCTACACTACCCTCCTAGTTCGAACTAGGAGGGTAAGGTAGGCATACCGCACTTGCAAATGAAGCCCGGGATTTGAATTTCTCGGGCTTCATTTGCATAAGCCGGGCGCCGCCATTTTTAAATCCTGGCTCGTTCGAACCCCGTGCCGCGTGTAGCCGCGCGGCAC